GCTGCCGCCGCAGCCGGCGAGAGCCCGGGCGACAAAAGGAGAAGGAAACGGAGAGCGGGGAAAGGTCAGAGCCTTGAAAAGGAAGAATTTACAGCGAGTCAGAAAACAGGCCCCGAGTGGCTGCCTGGCATCCCCCAAGGGCTGGGCAGGGCCGGCTCCTGCGGCCGGGACAGACACGGGCGATGTGTGAATCCCGCGCACAATGGGAGCCGCGACAATTCAGAGGCTCCGACTGTTCCCGGACAAGGGGCCGTGAATGAGCTCGCCGAGCTGCTCCTGCGCCAAGCAGCCATGACAACATATTGGCAAGGTCACAAGTAGCACTTGTAATTGGGAATGTGTAAAAGGTTCATTGTCTCCCCCGAGGAGCGCCGGGGAAGGGGAGGGGGCACAASCGCGGGCTGCTTTTCCCGTTTCCTTTGGGAAAGTCCGCACTGGGAAAATAATGAGCGAGAGGCCCATGTCGCGACAAGTGCCAGGCTGCCAAGTCGGAGCCTCCCTGGCTTCGGGCAGGGATTTTTGGGAGCCGGAGCCAAGGAACTGGGGTAAACTCCTCGGCACATGGAGGGCATCCAAGGAATTCACCTCTGGCTCCTGGAGCCGCTTCACCAAGCCTTGGAGCAGCACGGTCTAGGGGAAGGTGTCCCGTGGCACGGSGGTGGAAGGATACGGCCTTTAAAGTCTCTTCCACCTCAAAGCGTTCCGTGATTCTGTGGCTCTTCAGGATGCTATCTGGGTGCAAAACTGAATCCACGTGCTTTCGCTCTCTGAAACATTCCAGGATCCACGTGAAAGCAGCGTGTTATTGCCACTAACCTGCTAAACCCATCATTTAGAGATGTCATCTGCCTGAGAATCCATTTTTTGACAAACATATTGCACCCCCTTGGGGACAAGAAGCAGTTGAGAACGCTGATGGCTGAACTGTTCCTCCCTGAGCCTAGCTGGGAGCAGAGCAGCCCTGCCTCGTGCTCCAGAGGGATCACGGGGTGGCATCAGCCYCCCTGCGAGAGCTGAGCTCGCCTCTTTGTGAGAAATTCCCATTTCTCAGCTTCTGGGAGACAAATGATCCCTCCGCAAGGGTCACTAGCTCCCGGGATGAGCATTACCCCATATCCTGCTCTGCCAGAGACCGTCCAGGCACGCCGGACCGAAGCAGCATTCCTGCTTCACATCTTCCCACCCCAGCTCGGCACGGAAAACCAGGTCATTGAGCTGAAGCAGCTAAACTATCTGCTGGGGGAGGGAGGCAGGCAGGAGGGTGTCAGTCATTCCATCCAATTCAAAAAGGAGGAGAAGCGGCAGGGGGGAGAGGGAGGGGACAGAAGAAGGGCGATTGAAGTGGCCAAAGAAACACACAAATCTGGGTCCAAAAGCCCCTGGTTAATTATTGCTGAGCTAGCAGGCAGCGGGAAGGTGCCTATCTTTTTGGGAACCGTCAAAAATTCGCTTGAATTCGGAGATTTTGCGAACTTTTCGAGCAGAAAGCTGGCGGGCCCCTTCCCGCCGCCGCCCGAAATGAGAGCGGTTCCAATCCGTTCACGTGCGGGCAGCGCAAGCCAAGCAGAAAAAAGGGAAACAAAGCGCTCTGGCAGCGCCGAGGGACCGGCCCCGGGCAGCCCCGCCGTGACCTCCGGGCACCGCCGTGGGGCCACCGGGGAAACGGGAGAGCTCTGCCCGCGGGGAGCGGCGGGGCAGCGTGGGCACTGTCCTGTCCCTGCTCTGTCCCCTTCTCTGTCCCTGCCCTGTCCCCTGCCCTGTCCCTGCCCTGTCCCCTGCCCTGTCCCCTGCTCTGTCCCCTGCTCTGTCCCCTGCCCTGTCCCCTGCTCTGTCCCTGCCCTGTCCCCTGCCCTGTCCCCTGCTCTGTCCCCTGCTCTGTCCCCTGCTCTGTCCCTGCTCTGTCCTGTCCCCGCTGCGAGGGCAGGTCCCCTGCAAGAAAGGAGTTTTTGCAATCCAACCCCTTGAGTCACCCCCATGGCCAGGCTCTGCTGTGTCACAGCTCAGAGGGTGAACATGCACCCCCCCAGTGTGTGCTGSGACCCCAAAACCCCCCCTGTCTTGGGCTGAGCCCCCAGCACGGGAGGGGGAGATTCTGCCCCTCTGCCCCTCAGGTGAGACCCCACCTGCAGAGCTGCCCCAGCCCTGGGGAACAACAGCAGCAGGACCTGGARCTGCTGGAGAGAGCCCTGAGGGGGCCACAGAGATGCTCCAAGGGCTGGAGCCCCTCTGCTCTGCAGCCAGGCTGGGGGTGCTCACCTGGAGAAGAGAAGGCTCCAGGGAGAGCTCAGAGCCTCTTCCAGGGCCTAAAGGGGCTCCAGGAGAGCTGGAGAGGGACTGGGGACAAGGGATGGAGGGACAGGACACAGGRAATGGCTTCCCACTGCCAGAGGGCAGGGATGGATGGGATATTGGGAAGGAATTGTTCCCTGGGAGGGTGGGGAGGCCCTGGCACAGGGTGCCCAGAGAAGCTGTGGCTGCCCCTGGATCCCTGGCAGTGCCCAAGGCCAGGCTGGACACTGGGGCTTGGAGCAGCCTGGGACAGTGGAAGGTGTCCCTGCCCATGGCAGGGGGTGGGATGGGATAGTTTTTGTGGCCTTTGAGAGTTTCCCTCCACAAGAACCATTGTACAACTGATTGTACAACTGAGCTGTGATGGACACACAACACAAAGCCTGCCAAGCTGCTGCACAGCAGGGAATTATGAGGTGGCTCTGGGAACTCTGGGATGAATTTGGGGGCTTCTCTCACCTCCTGGTCCAGCTCCTTGCCCAGGGCCAGGTGATTGCTTTTCAGGATGATGAACTCCTCGGCCAGCTGCTGCCGGCTGCTCTCCAGGCTGTGCAGGCGCTGCCGCAGGGAATCTCTCTCCTCTGTCACCCTGGCACTGCGCAGCTCCAGCTCCTGCACCCGCCTCTCCAGGGCCTGCAGCTGCACAGGGAGGGCATTTCATGGCAGTTCCATGGCTCTGGGGGGAATTCAGCTGCAGCTAAAGCCAGGAGAAGATGCCAAGCAAAGCACGGGCGGGTGTGTAAGGAGCTGCATTGGCAGGGGGAGGCATTGGCAAGGCCAGTTTTTGGGTACCGTGTTTTTCAGTTTGAAGTTCTCCGTCTCATAGCGCTCCTTCATTTTGTTYGTCTCGATCTGGAGATCCACGAGGTCTTTGGAAATCTGTGACAGAGAAAAGACCTAGTGAAGGCCATGGATGGGTTCTGAGGCTGGTGTGKTGTTTGARCACAACACTCCCCTCCAGATGGAGGAATTTCCCCCCACATTTTCCTCTGTGGCTCCACTGGCCTCCCACTGCTTCACAGCTCCATTCTCTCCAACTCCTGAAATTTTACCTTCAGCTTTTCCTCTTCACTGAGGACCATCCTGGTTGGAAAATCTGTCTTGGAGCCAGACAGCTTCCCCATCTCCTCCTGTGGGTGCAGCCCCTCATTCCTGTCCTGCAGCTGCACCTGGAGGCACAGAGCAGCTCCAGCTGAATTTTCCTTTCCCCCTGCCACTCGCCCCCCACTGCTGCTGGGAGAGCTCAGCATTCCCAGCTTTTCAGAACCTGAGCAGATCCCAAGGGGCTCCCAGCTGCCATTTCCCCCCAGTAATTAGGATTTCCTCGGCAGAGCTCTGGTTCCATGACCCAGGAGGGGCCTGCAGACCCTCACACCTGTATTTTTGGCCAGCAAGATGCTCTGTCAGAGTACTCACGTTCTCTGCAACAATTCCAGGATCCATGTGCTCCAAGGCCAGGATCTGCGCACGGTGTGGGGCAGGCAGGGACTGAGAAGTGAGGAAAGACCCAAGGATCTCCAAGGAACTTCTCCCTGGAGGTCCAGGGCTGTTGCTACCAACTTTGGTTACCAGAGGGTGCGGCTTCTCCTTGATTTTAAGGTGGATCTGAACCTTAAAGCCACCCAGAGAGCTGCTGGAGGGAAAGCAGTGGCACTTCCCAGGAAGTTCTGTATTCCCAAGTCAGCCCACAGCAGACACTGGGAGAAGCAGCACAGAACCCTCCCAGTGCAGCAATTCTGACAGTGAGGGAGTGCCAGACCCTCTCAGGGACCATTCCCAAACCTGGCTGTAGGGACAGYCTCCACCTCTAGKRCAGGAATATTMCAGGGCTTTAGGGRGCTGACAAGAAGGAGGGAGAGGGACTTTTTCCATGGGCAGACAGTGATAGGACAAGGGGGAGGATTTTAAAGTAGAAGAGGAGAAATTCAGAGTGAATAGAGGGCAGGGATGGATGGGATATTGGGAAGGAATTGTTCCCTGGGAGGGTGGGGAGGCCCTGGCACAGGGTGCCCAGAGAAGCTGTGGCTGCCCCTGGATCCCTGGCAGTGCCCAAGGCCAGGCTGGACAGGGTTTGGAGCAGCCTGGGACAGTGGAAGGTGTCCCTGTCATGGCAGGGGTGGAACTGGATGGGCTTTAAGGTCCCTTCCCACCCAAACCATTCCATGATTCCCTGATTCCARGCTCTGATTAACCCATTAATTAACCCACTAACCCAACCCTCTGCTCCAAGAGCATCCAGCAGCACCTCATTTGCTTCCAGGCAACTTTCTCTTGGTCTSTGCAGTCCTTGAGCCTTCCGTGTCAATGAGCTGCCCAAAAGGTCCCAGGACCTCTGAGTCCTACCCAAGCTAAAGCTGGTGCCAGGAAAGACCTTTCTCAATTTATCCCTTCACATCTGAGATGCTGTGTGGAAAAATACAGGTTTTAAAGCAAAGTGTGCACTGGAACAGACCCAGATGAGCTCAGACAACACTAAATCTGGGTTGTGCTGATCTGTGCGCTGCTGTTGGCTCCAAACTGGGACCAGCCAGGCTGGAATGGGACAAATCCCAAAGCCACAAGTACCTGAAGAACCTCTCAGGTCGGAGTGCAGGGCATGGTGGATAATGCTGGAAAATAATACCTGGAAAAGGGGTAAAACCAGATGGATGAGGAAACCTTTAAAGGTCCCTTGCAACTCARACTCCTCCRYGGCTCTAAAATGAATTCCAGCTCTTAATCTCCTCATTTCAGGCTTATTATTGCTGCTATTTCTGTAGAGTGTGTGAGTTTAGGTAAGAATCTGTCTCCCACAGAAGAAAAGCTCTGACAATATAATGTTCAAAAAAGCCCAGAGCTCTGAATAACTCCTCAGGATCTGTCAGAGCTCGGGGGTGAGAGGGAGAGGGGCGATCCTGCCTCTGCTTGTCACAGAGCTCCTCACCTGTCCCAGGCTGCTGGASGAGACCCCAGAGCCCCTCGATGAAGGTCCAGAGAGGCCAGACCCAGGGGCTGAGCATTTTGGGGGGAAGGAGAAGCTAGCAAACCGTGCAATTACGGCTTGTTTTTCTGCAAAAGAGCTTAACAGACCTGAAGTAATTTTATTAAGGTAATGAAAGTGTTGATGAGAATTCACAGTCTCTTCACACCCAGCGCGGAGCCGAATTCACACCCTGCCCACGGCGCCGGGGGCTCGGGAGCCTCGGAGGGGGCTCGGGCACACGGAGGAGCTGAGCGCGGCTCTCAGCCCCACACGGACACCCCAGGGACGGGCACCTCCATCCCGCATCCCCGAGACCCCGATTTGGGAGGGGAAACAGCCCCACCCCTCCCACGGGTGCTCGCTGAGTCGCRGGGAGCCCGCTGCACCCGGCGGAGGACAATTAACCTATGCAAATACCACATTAATTATGCAAGCGCACCTTTGTGGCAGGTGCCGCACCGGCACTGGGAATGACAGTGACCGCTTTTCCCATGGTCTGGGAATGGGACGCCAATTTTGTCGCGGCCAACACCACAAAAAGCAAATTCGGGCTGAGAAATGAAGTTTTGGGGCGTCACTGAGGGTCGGAATCTCCATCGCCATTCCGGGCTAAACCGAACAGCCCCGCCAAAYCCAAATCCCAGCTCTGCACTGGGGGTCCTTCACTCTTCTTGCCGGGAACACCTTAAACGCGGCTTAAAGAGATGAAACCGCTCCCAAATCCCCAGGAGCTCCAGGGAGCGCAGCCRCCGCAGCGACCCCGCTGTTGTCACCTGTCCCCAGCCCTGCCAGCCCTTGGCGAGGCCATCCGTCCCCCTGTGCCCCCGGGGACCCCCGAGCGGGGCAGAGCGAGCAGCCCCGCGCTCCCCGAGCTCTCGGCAGGGCCGGCACAGCGTTATGCAGTGACTGGCTCCATCTGGCTTCCAGCGCCAGCAAAGGGAATTCGCGTCCGCTCCCGGATCTGAYAAAGTCCTGGAATGCCGGAGGAGCGCCCTGCAGCCCGGGATGCCCCAGGTGGCCGAGCCTCGCTGCCCCGGGGGTGGGGAATCCTCTGAGCCCCCCACCGATCCCCCCAACACATTCTCTCTATCCAATCTCAGTCCGCTCCCTTGCAGTTTCAAACAATGATCCTTTCTCCTGTTTGAGGAAAAGCTGCTCTCTGCCACTTTTCCAAGCCCTCAGGCTGCCACGAGGTTTTCTTCAGGCTGAACAGTCCCAGCTCTCCCAGCCTGGAGAAGGGAGGGGAGGAGGGGGCTGCAGAACCTCTCCCAGCTGCCCCACAAAGAACAGGAGAGGTTCTTCAGTCCCAGCTATTCCATAGCTCCCTCTGGATCTGCTCCAACCCATCCAGCTCTGGCCTCTCCCAGRATCCCATGGATGTGTGCTCTGGGGGGGTCGAGGGGGAGGATCATCTCCCTGCCCTGCTGAACACCCTTCCTGGATGCAGCCAGGGAGACGTTGGGTTTGTGGGCACCCAGTGCCACCCCCTGTCCCAACTGTCACCCCCAGCACCTCCAGGGGCTTCTCTGCAGGGCTGGGAGGAGGGTTGGGATGGAGGAAGGTTGGGATGGAGCAGGCAGGGAGACCCTGGCAGCAGGAGAGGGGGGTGGCAGCTGTGTTATCACGGGCAGGAGGGGGGAGCGTGGCCCCTCTGCCACAGCCCCACCCCATCCTGAGCACCAGGAAACCTGAGGACCAGGCTGCTCCATCCAATCCATCCATCCATCCATCCATCCATCCATCCATCCATCCATCCATCCATCCATCCATCCATCCATCCATCCATCCATCCATCCATCCATCCATCNCCATCCATCCATCCATCCATCCATCCATCCATCCATCCATCCATCCATCCATCCATCCATCCATCCATCCATCCATCCATCCATCCATCCATCCACCCGTCCCTCCCTCCATCCATCCAGCAGCAGGAAGCCTGTGCCCAGCTCTGGAGAGCTGACATGGGACACAGAAAATGCCACTCCCCTCTCCCTCCCCACCCTGGCACCATCCTCAGGGTGCGTTTGGTGCCTCCCTTCCCTGTGTTCACTCCCCAGTCCCGTTTCATTCTGAGCCACCCCTCTCCTGCCATTCCCTGTCTCCATYCCCACTCCCAGGGCCTCTCTTTTCCCCACATCTCAGTGTTTGGGAATTTTCTGTCTCTGTCTCCAGCAATGGCCCTGGCCATCCCAAGTCACGCCTTAGGGATGTCCTCGCCTGTCCCAGTCCAGCCAGTCCAGCCAGTCCAGCCAGGCTGGTGCTGGTGATGCATTCTCGAGTAGCCACGTGGGCCACCAGGGCAGTAATTGGCATCCCTGGGAACTGTCCCACATCAGGCACCGTTCCCAACTTCCCACATGAGTCTCGGCAGCTGTGGCAGGGCACGAGGTGACACTCAGAGATGCCCATGGGGACCTCTGCCAGCAGCTGCCACCATTTCCAGGTGCCCATCTCCAGCAGCAGGACCAGGGACTGGAACCGTGGGTGGACAGTGAGCACCAGGTAAAGCCCTGCTCCTGGGTCCTGGTCCCTGCTGGTATCCCCAGAARTGTGGCACAAGCTCAGGGGTGCTGCTGTCACCCCTCCTGGCTCCCTTGGCCATATTTTTTTGGTCTAGAATGAGAAGCAGGAGTGCTGGTTGCCCTGGCAACACGAGATGCTCTCCTCCAGACAGGGACAATATTTGGCAAGATTTGCTAAAAATACTCCCTAACTAAGCTGTGACAACACCRCACGTGTCACCTCCCTGCTCCCCTCAGGGCTCAGCCTGGGTGGGTGCTGTCCCTGCTGGTGTCCAGAGTGAGTGGCCCTGGTCACTCACCCAGGGATATCCCGGGATCCCAGATGTGGCCCAGCACTGTCCCCTCCCCAGGTCAGYCAGCCCCGGGACAGCTGCTGTGTCCCACCCAAAGGGACTGGGAAACTCCCTGAGGAGRGACCTGCAGGCCCAGGAGTGCTGCTGGGGAAGGTAAATGATTCCTTAGAGTTTAAATAGGTTTAAAATCTACTTTTTTATGATTTTGCTGCTTTTCCTAATACCATTACAGCCTTCTCCATGGCAACCAGGGGAGGGGCTCAGACTTTGGTCCTGGCCAGGAGTTTATCTGCTGGAGCTGAAGTGATGGGGGGATCGGGTGGGGGGGTCCACAGGAGCACGCTGGGACRAGGACACCCCCGGAGGGGACCCCACTGAGGTCCCCATGGTGACTGTGGAGCTCACGGGGCGGATGGGGTGCAGGGGCCGACATCTGCAGTGTCCCAGCACCTCCTGCCACAGATGGGACACACCTGGAAATGTCCCCAGGGAGGTTTAAAGGTGGGGACAGGTCTAGAGKAGATGTCTCAAGGACCTCCAAAGGTGGAGATGGGTCCAGCTCCTCCCTGCACCGCAACCACCCTGGGAAGGATTTCCTTATTTACCCTCTTTAATTCCTCRTTGCATCTCATTGATATTTCCCTTGGGAGGGCTGCTGGAGGCAGGGACAAACCTGCTCCCAGCTGCAGGCAGGGCTTGTTTAAACTTCCCAAAGAGGTTTTGTGGGTTTTGGCTGGCTGAGCTGTGCTGGTTCAGCTCTTTTYAGCTTCCAGATTGATTACACCTTGTGTCAATATGTGCTCAGTGCCTATTAGTGGGTGCGTGTATCCCCATCCCTCATTTCTCCCTCCTGATCTATAAATTCCCAGAAGAGAGGATTAAAATAGAGGGGGAGGAGAATTCCCCTTGGGGCCAAAGGGAAGAGAGAAAATAGAACCTGTGGGAAAGTTGGGTGGTGAGGCTGGAGCCTGGATGTCTCTGTCCAGCACCTCTTCCCACAGGCATGGAAATGCCTGGAGAGGAGGGGAGACATGGAGCTGGGGAAATGCCAGGCTCCCACAGTGCTGGGAAAGGTGGGAATGGTGGTGGAGAGCATCCCTGCTCCACCTCCCAAACCAGCCTGGGGGAGCCAGGGCTGGGAAGAGAGCCCTGGAGGGAGATTCCTGTTCCTGGAGCTGTGGATGGTGCCAGCCTGGTGCATCTCCAGGGGGGAATGGGGCTACCGGGACACGGGAAAGATTGGCCGTGGCTTTTCCAAGGGGCTCCTCTTGCTGGGGCTTTTCCTTTCTCTTTCTTTCCTGGAAACTGGTAAAAGATTCCACAGAAGCTGTGTTGGAACCTGGTGGGGAAACGACCCAGGGACACAGGGTGAGGTCAGCAGCCTCCCCTGGGTGCTTTTGGTGAGCTGCCAGGGGCAGAGTGTGATCTGCCAGCCCTGGAGCATCATCTGCCCTTATCCCACTGGAGGGGGGCTGGCAGAGGGGCTGGGGACCCTCACTCACAGCCACCACCTCACCATGGGACCCTCACTCACAGCCACCACCTCACCACAGGGACCCTGCCCTTGATCTCAGCCTCCCCTCTGGCACAGCAGCACCGGGCAGGGCAGGGTGTGGACCCCCAGTGCCCTTCCCACCCTCGAGGACAGGAGGGAAAATAGGACAATGCCYTCAGGAGGGGCTGGGGGTTCAGCCCAGAGGTTGTTAGTGCCGCACAGGGAAGAGGTTTTTCCCATTTCCCAACTCATTTCCCATTTGCATCACCACAAACCCTCAGGTGTTTCAGCCCATCTCGCCCTAAGGGTGACCCCAAACCTTTAATCCCTGTGTCCTACAGATGCTCTGAGCCCCAGCATGTGGTTTTTGTGTCCTGATGGAGAGKGAGGACCCTCTGCCAGGGCTTATCCCAGGGCTTCTCCCAGGGCATCCCCGGCCCGGCAGGGTCAGTGCTCCTGCTCAGGCCCCTCCAGGGCACTCACTGCAGAGTGCTGAGACACTCTATGAGGTTGTCCCATCCCTCCCTCCGTGCTCCAAGCCCACACAAATCCCATCTCAGTCAGGACCGCCCTCTGCAGGACCCCCGAAAGGTTCCCGGACATYTCATTCCATGCCCCTTTCCCGACTTTCTCTAAAGGCAGTCCCAGAGCAGGGGGAGCAGTGAGGAGCCCGTCCCGGTGGCACTGAGCCCGTCCCGGTGACATTGTCCCCAGCCAGGCTGTCCCCGGGGCTCAGGCACGGCCCGGGCCAGCAGCAGTGGGGTTAAGCCCGGCCGGGCAGGCGGCTGGACAGGCGTCAAGGTGGTTGCTCCATCCATCCCTGCGCAGTCGGCGGGGCCGGAGAGCGGAGCGGGAGCGGGAGCAGGAGCCCTGTCCTGCCCGCCGCCATGAGCGCAGGCAAAGGTAAGGCTGGAACCGCCTCGGCCAGCCCGGGGGACAGGCAGGGGCTGCGCTCGGACCCTGCCAGGGCTTCAGTCACCCTCCACTCTGCTCCTCCTTCACTGCCAATAGGACATTTTGGGGGSCCCCGAGCTGCCGGGGGGGTGGCAGGCACTGAGGGCAGAGCCCAAACCTGGATGGGGAGCGCAGGGATGGGCGGGGACCGTGGAACGGGGACACCCCAGTGCTGGGGGAGTCAAGGAGGGCAGCTGGGTAGGAAGGGGAGAAGGGTCTGGGGGCCTTTCCCCACGAAAAAAGAGAAGCTGCTGCTGTTGCAAAATAAGAGATGAATTGGGGAGGGGGTCCTCGCAGCCCAGGGATCTGAACTGTGGCAGGAGTAGGGGATGATCCCGGACCCTATCCCACGGGATCCCAGCCTCTGAAAACGCCTGCGGCTGCCCCGGGTGTGCCATGGGCTGAGAGTTACCCCTKAACCCACCCGGCCAGAGCGTCTCGGGGGTCCCGAGGGGGTCCCCTAGAGCAGCCCCGGCCCTGCACTGACAGTGTCCCCTTTTCTCCACCCCTCCCAGCAGGCATCCCCCTCCTGCTCCCCCTGGCCCTGCTGCTGGCTGCCGYCTCCCTGTCCCCCGGCGGAGGGGACGCCCCGAAGGAGCCGGGGGACGGGGACGGCCCGCGCTGCCCCAGCCCCTGCGCCTGCAGCCTGGACGATTACAGCGAGGAGCTCAACGTCTTCTGCAGCGGCCGCAACCTGACGCGCCTGCCCGAGGCCGTGCCCCCCAACGCCAAAGCGCTGTGGCTGGACGGCAACAACTTGACGCTGCTGCCGGCCGCCGCCTTCAGGAACCTGTCGGCGCTGGACTTCCTGGACCTGCAGAGCAGCCAGCTGGGCTCGGTGGAGCAGCACGCCTTCCACGGGCTGCGCAGCCTCTTCCACCTGCACCTGGAGCGCAACCGCCTCAAGCACCTGGCMCCGCACACCTTCCTGCACACGCACAACCTCGTGTCCCTCAGCCTCAACAACAACCTCTTCACCAAGGTGGAGGARGGGCTCTTCGCCGGCCTCTCCAACCTCTGGTACCTGAACCTGGGCTGGAACTCGCTGGTGGTGCTGCCCGACAAGGTGTTCCACGACCTGCCCAACCTGAGGGAGCTGATCCTGGCTGGGAACAAGCTGCCCTACCTGCAGCACCAGCTCTTCTGCAGCCTGACCGAGCTGAAGGAGCTGGATCTGAGCGGCAACATGCTCAAGGGCATCAAGATCAACATTTTTGTCAAGCTGCAGAAGYTGCAGAAGCTGTACCTGAACCACAACCAGATCAACGCCATCGCGCCCCGCGCCTTCATGGGCATGAAGTCCCTGCGCTGGCTGGACCTGTCCCACAACCGCCTGGTCTCGCTGTACGAGGACACCTTCCTGGGCCTGCTGAGCCTGCACGTCCTGCGCCTGTCCACCAACTCCATCGCCGGCCTGAGGCCCAGGACCTTCAAGGACCTSCAGTTCCTGGAGGAGCTGCAGCTGGGGCACAACCGGATCCGGAGCCTGGCGGAGAGGACCTTCGAGGGGCTGGGCCAGCTGGAGGTGCTCAGCCTCAACAACAACCAGCTGCAGGACATCAGGGCCGGCGCCTTCCTGGGGCTGCACAACGTGGCCGTGATGCACTTATCTGCCAACTGCATCAAGCTCTTGCCCGACTTCGTCTTCAAGGGGGTCTCAAAGTTGCACAGCCTCCACCTGGAGCACAGCTGCATGGGCAGGATCCGGGCCAGCACCTTTTCTGGGCTCTCCAGCCTGCGGCGCCTCTTCCTGCAGCACAACAGCATCTCCCTCATTGAAGACCGGAGCTTCAGCGAACTGCACGAGCTCCTGGAGCTCGACCTGAAGCACAACAGGCTGAGCCACCTCTCRCCCCGGCTCTTCGTGGGGCTGAGCAACCTGGAGTACCTGTTCCTCTCCTCCAACCAGCTCCTGGAGATCTCCCAGGACACCTTCGGCCCGCTCCAGAGACTCTTCTGGCTCGACCTCTCCCACAACCAGCTGGAGACACTGGACAGCAGCGTCGTCTCCCCACTGACCAACCTGCGGTACCTCAGCCTGAGGAATAACTCCCTGGAGACCTTCTCGGTGGCGTTCCTGGGCCCCCCCTTCGCCCTGGAGCAGCTGTGGCTGGGGGGCAACAACTGGCACTGCAACTGCTCCCTGAAGGGGCTGCGGGACTTCTCCTTGCGGCACCCGGCTGTGGTGCCGCGCTTCGTGCAGTCGGTGGCCGAGGGGGACGATGCCCATGTCCCCATCTACACCTACAACAACCTCACCTGCCTGCACCCCCCAGGGCTGGCAGGGCTGGACCTCCGTGACGCCGCCGAGGAGAGCTTTGCTCACTGCTGAGCTGGGCTGGCCCTCCCAGGGACCCTCACCCGCCACCTCCCTGGCCCTGCTGRGGCTCTGTGGCCACCCCAGACGAGCCCACCACCTCCAGTAGCCGCCTTGCCCAGGAGCTGCTGGATGGGCACCAGCCCCCTGGGCTTCGAACTGAGTATTTCAGCCCTTTAATATTTAAGTAGAAGCCCCCCGGGCACAGCACAGCACAGCAGGAGCACATTTGGAATGCTGCAACCCCCACCTGCAGCCACAGCAAGGGGCRGCCCTGCCCTGCCCAGGCCAGGACTTCATGGGACAAAACAAAGCATTTTCCTGCCACAGAGCAGTGGAGAATCCTAAAAGCTACCCCGAGCTTAGGGARGGGTGCAGAGGACTTGCTGTAGTGATTCCCTGCAGCAGCAGATGTAGGCAGGGCACAGAAAGGCACACGGCACTCACCTGACAAATGGCAGCAGACAAATAAACCTTTGGAGCTATTGCAACCCACTTTGCAAGTTACGTTTTTTCCAAAGTTGGTGCTGCCTCCGGTCTGGATTTCTCCCCAGAGCCCCTCAGCGTGAGGGATTCAGGTTCCTGGGGGCTCCCACATTTCCTGCAAGCCCTGGGGGGTGGCCCAAGCCAAGGGAGGGAGCAAGAATTGCCCAGAGCCAACAGCCTTGACAGACTGCTGAGCTACTGCCCAGATCTCCAAATCCCAGATAAGTGTCCAAAGGTCAGACAAAACTTTCCTGGAAAATTGCATGAGGGGAAAGCTGCTCAGGTGTGGGTCCTTGTGCACTGGCAGCAGYGGTAGATGCTGCTGCTGCTCTGCTCCAAGCACTGCCTGCTCTAACCCAGTCCTGTCAGTGGAAACCCAAGAWTTCCCTGTCTTCCCAAAACCCCACTGTGAGGGTGAGTCCCAAAGGTGSTGAGGGAGGCTGGCAGAGGATCTCAGAGCCCAGGAGGGAGGGAGATAAGGTGCAAGGCCACCACCTTCATTTGCTTCATCTGCTTGACTCAAGTCTGCAAGAGGAGGGCCGGTCCCACAGGAAGAGGGGGACAGGACACAGGAGCCACCTGAGGACACAGGAGCCCCATACTGGGGTTCAGGAAGAGCCGTGACAAAGCATCCTGTGAAGGGCTGCCAGGGCAGCTCACAGCAAGACAAGGGACAGGCTGGATCCCAATGCTGTGACAGGAGATTGAGCTGAATTCCAGCAAGGAAACCAGGGAAAATACCTTGATGTATGTCGAGTGCCAAAACTCAGAGCTACAGCAAGGCCTGAAGCCATGGAAAAACAGAAGTCACAGTCTTGCATTTTCAGACAAGTGTTTACTGCCTGGAACATTGAAAAATATTCCTGAGTCACACAAGTGCAGCAGAGCCGAGGCCACATCTCCAGCACGGTGGGATGAGGCTCCCAGACAGCTCCGAAGGCATTTCCTCACTCCCAGCCCACACCATGCCCCCAGCGGCCCATCAGAAACCGGTGAGCCGAGAATGCCGAGCACAGGGCCTGGCCTGGCCCCACATGGGAGCATCCAGCACGGCTCAGCCACTGAAGCAAGTCCTGTGTGATCCGTCAGGCAGCGGGAGAAGGCAGCGGCACGCAGCGCCGTGATCCGGCTGATTGGAGCCGTGTGGGATCACTGAGGGGAAAGATGCACTTGGCACTGCAGCTCCAGAGTCTCTCTGGGTCAGAGGGGATGGAACTGCTTCCTTCTGGGACTGCCAGCAGCAGCAGGGATCAGTGCTCCCCTCCCTCCCAGCCCAGAGAGACAGAGTTACACAGCTCCTGCCTCCCCTTGCTGCTGCTGGGGCTGCCAGGCTGGCACCAGTCCAGCTCCACACCCTCCTCAGGAGCTCCTCTGCGATGTATCCAAGATCTGCTGRGCGATGTGAGTCAAGGCAGGAAAAGCAGAGCTCTTGGGAAACTCTTGGATGAAGTCTCTGCCTTCTTCCAGGCTCTGGGTGAGCTGGGGATCCAGGGGGATGCAGCCTGTGGGACAGGGAAAAGGAGGGGGAGAGCTGGCTCCCTGCACAGCCRAGGCCTGCAGCCAGGGATAGAAACACACTTCCAGGGTCAAACCCAGGGACAGTGGTGGGGAAAGCCAACCACTGCCCTCCCTGAGCTGTCCAGGAGATAATTCTCACCTGCAACTGCTTTCCCTGGGTCCAAGAGCCCACCCCACCCCTGGTGCTTCATGAGAGGGGCTCTSCCCCTGATCCCAGCCTGTCCAGCGACAGGGCTCAGCCCTCAGCCCCCATTTCTCAGGGAGGCTCTAGGACATTCCAACGTGGTTCTCATGGAGCTCCAGGCTTGTTTACCATGTCACCACAACATCAGCAGCCACAGGAGGTGCTGGCACCACCACCTCTGGCCCAGCAAGGCCAGCTGCCCATTGTGAGCAGTCTGGATGGCAGAGGAACAAAGTACAAACCATACCCCAGATCTGCCAGGTGCCAGGGGCTCCCAGCCCAGCCCACCTGCCTGTGATACTCCTTCTCTGTGCTCAGCCCTCTCCCGGCACCAAGAGGTGAGCCCTGAGCAGAGCCACTCACCCAGGAAGGGCACCCCAGTGTGCTTGGCCAGCTCCTCTCCTCCCCCTTTGGAGAAGATGTTCGTGCATTCCTGAAGGAGGAAGAGCCATGAGTCAGGAAGCCCAGAGCCCTGTGTGACAGGGCAGGTGCTGCCAGGCCCTGAGCAGAGCCACTGCCCTCCACCCTCCAGCCCCAGGCACTCCCTGTGCCCCCGCCCTTCCCACAGCTCCATCATAAAGCACAGCCAGTGGCCTCTCCCGAAGCTGGCAGCATCTCCTCTTCCCTGGCTCATCACCCTCACGGCATTGCCCAATCTCCCACCCAAGGCTCAGCACCCCAGCAGCACAAGGAAGAGTCCCCAGCAGCCCCAAGGCTGGACAGAAAGCTCAGGAGAAGCTCACGGAGCAGTGGGGGCACACGAAGCCGCTCATGTTCTCCACGATGCCGAGGATCCGCAATCCCGCCTTCCGACAGAAGGTCAGCTCCCGCCTCACATCCCCCACGGACACGGCCTGAGGGGGAACAGCAGAACTGGGGATGCCTCTGGCCACATCCACTGTGGCTCCAGAGCAGATGTGTAGAAGCAGCAGCCTCAGACAGCCCTGTGCAAACCTGAGGTGCATYTTTCCCCCCTCCAAAGCTGCTGCCTGCCAGGAATTCCAGCCCCGTGTCCTACCTGGGGCGTTGTGACCAGGATTGCTCCGAGCAGCTGGTAGGGCCTCAAGGCCTCCACGGTGGAGATGTGCTCGTCGGACGTGCCCGGYGGTGTGTCCACGATGAGGAAGTCCAGGTCCCCCCAGGCCACGTCGGTAACAAATTGCTTGATCAAAGCTATGGAAATAAAAGGGGCAGATAAAAAAAATTCAGTGAGTTTCAGGTGGCTTGGGAGCTGTGGGACAGGGATTGGGAAGCACCCTGGGGGTGACAGGGATCAGGGAGAGGGACAAGGCTGTCTGTCAGCACAACATGTGCTGTACTCTCCCCTCTGAGTGATTTAAACCCACGCTTATGGAACAGGAGCTTTGTTCCCTCACAGAATGATCCCTCCAGGAGGGCTCACAGAAGGTTCCAGAGCAGGTTTCACCTAGCAAACCCCAGTGTTACCATTTTTCTTAGGTCCTCTCCACACCACGGCGTCGTCTGGCCTCTCCAGCAGGAAGCCGATGGACATGAGGGCGATGGCCTTGTCCTGACCCACGAAAACAGGCACCCAGCCACTGTCACACTGGTGCACGGCGCTGTCCTGCACCCTCAGCATGCGTGGGATGCTGGGGCCACACAGGTCCACGTCCAGGATGCCCACCTGGGGACAGGCACAGCCCTTCTCACACCCTGAGCAGGGCGGGCTCAGGAACCCCCAGCCMCCCAAACCTGGGCTGCTCACAGCACCTCCACAACAGCCTCTGCAGCTCAGCAGCCACAGCTGAAACAGAAATGCTCTAAATTTCACATGCCTCCTGACCTCCTCCCCAAGGAGCATCTCCTGGGTGTCTCCAAGCGCTTTGTGCCAGAACCCAAGTGGCACTGGCTGCACAGAGCCTTTAAAAAGATCCTCAGGGAATCCAGTCTGTCTCCTGCCCACACATTTCCTTTTTGTCCCCATTTTAAGCATCCTTCAGCTCATCCACCCCACAGAGGGAGCAAGGGTGACAYGACAAAGCAGCAAAGTCATGTCTCAGGGCCTATTTCAGCAATAAATATTGTGTGATTTAATAAAATAGATCAAAGAGAAATGAGATGCAGTACCTGATCCAGTTACCTGCACTTGATCGAACAACAGAAAGGAACCCCTTGAATTACTCCCACAAACAGCATCTTCACTTACAGACAATCCACACCCAGGACACCCCCATGGAAAGGACAGAAAAAGCCTGGACCAGCTGGAGATGAGGAGGGAARAGCCAGAACTGATCATCCCTAACCCTCACTCACCCTCTTCCCGGCATTGCGCAGCGCCAGGGCCAGCTCGGTGGAGATGGTGCTCTTCCCAACGCCGCCCTTCCCGGACAGCACGAGCACGATGTGCCGCACCCCGGCCAGGTTGGCTCTCTCTGCAAGTGTATCACAGAACCATGGAATATCCTGAGCTGGAGGGACCCACAGGGATCATGGATCCAACCCTGGCCCTGCACAGACCCCCCAACAATCCCACCCTGTGCATCCCTGGCAGCGCTGTCCAAACGCTCCTGGAGCTSTGGCAGCCTCGGGGCCGGGACCATTCCCTGGGGAGCCTGGGCAGTGCCAGCACCCTCTGGGGACAGAAGAACCTTTCCCTGATCTCCATCCTGACCCTGCCCTGGCCCAGCTCCAGCCATGCCCTGGGTCCTGTCCCTGTCCCAGAGCAGAGATCAGACCTGTCCCTCAGGAGGAGCGGCAGACCCCGCTGAGGTCTGACCTCAGTGTAAAGCAGTGGGAAAGGACAGGTGGATGTGCCACAGGCTTTCTGTCATCAGAAAAGGAACAACAAGAACAATGGCAATAAACAATGTGTGGTGAGCAAAGGTTTGTCCCGATGACCTAAGTGGCAGCAGAGCAATTAACAGGCRCTGGGCTCGTGCGGCTCAGCCGGGCATGGCCGGAGGCTGATGGTGAGCTCAGGCCCTTGGCGTTTCCTTCCTCCRTGTCACACCAGTCACTTCCTGCCAGTCCCACGCTCCTCTCCAGCTTTCCTGCCATTCCCGGCTGTGCTGTCAGCGCTCCCGGGTCTCTGAGCACTCGGGACGGTGTCCCCGGCCCGGGGCACAACAGGAGGCAGGGGACGGACGGGACGCCGGCACAGAGCGCCCAGCCGGGCCCGCGTTCTCGGGCGCCCCGTCACGACCGGGCACTGTCCCGGCAGCACAGCGGCACCGGCGGCATGGAGCCCACCATGGCAGAACTCATCCGCACCTCCACCGACGGTAACGGCACAGGGCTTCAAAACGAGGAGGGGAGGGAGAAGAAGACCGGGGAGGGAGAAGAGAGCCGAGGAGGGGGAAGACAGAGCCCCGCAGAGGGCTGCTCGCGGGATCCCGCCCGAGGACAGCGGCAGCTCCGCGTAGGGCTCACTTTCTCGGCGCTGTCTCCCGCGGGAGCCGTGCCCGGGCCTTTCGCAAGGCCCAGCGTTGCCTCCCGATAAGCGGGGCCCGCCGTCTGTGGGGCCCCAGCCCCTCCCATCCCCTCACGGGGAGTCGGGGTCCATCACAGCGGCACGGCGCGACCCAGGCAGTTGGGAACCCCGCGGAACCGGGTCCTGAACSCCCCGCTAGGCCCGGTCATTGCGGTAGGGACATTCCACGCGAGACAAACAGTGGCTCCCCGCAGGCCGGTTCCCCCGAGCCGCGGCCTTTGCACCGCTCACCCCCGGCCGTCTCCTCCATGCTGCCTCGCGCTTCCGCTTTCCGCCGGCCTAAGGCCCCGCCCCCTCAGATTGACAGGCKCCGCATCAAATCCCAGTCCTCGCTCTCACCCAAGGCCCCGCCCCCCAGGGCTTTGCAGCCAATCCACTCCCGCGCTCCCCTTGCATCAGCCAATGGGCTCAGTGMTTTCCCGCCCCGAGCAGCCGCCCAATGGCGCCGCTCCCTGGGGATTGGCACAGGGTGCAGCCAATAGCGCGGGGCTGCYTGGACCCCACCCCCTCTCTCCTCCTCCGCCCGTGAGTGACAGGACGCTCAGCCAATGGCGAAGGGGCTTGGCGCGGCCGCAGCCAATGGGCAGCAGGGGGGCGGTGCCAGGAGCGGATTGTTTATGTCCCGGCAGAGGAAAGTAGGTCAGAGCGCGGCGAGGCCGGGCCGGGTCAGCGCCGGGCAGGTGGGCCGGGGGCGAGGGGACGGGCCGGGAGCGGCAGCTGAGGGTTGGGGTTTGGCTCAGGGCGTGCCCGGGCTGTGCGACCCAAGCGTGGCCCAAATGCGCTGGCCTGGCCTGGTCTGGCCTGGCGTGATCCGGTCCTGTTCGGCCGCGCCTCAGCAGCCGGGACAGCCGGGGCTCTGGYGCCCGCCCTCGGCGGAGCTGCTGCCCCCGCGGCCGAGAAGCCGCGCCGCGCCCCCGCCGTGATCCTCCCGCCGCTCAGCGCCCGGGACAGTGCTGGGACAGTGAGCGCTGTGCGGGTCACGCCGCAGCATCGTCTCGGGCCCGTGGAAAGACCTCACTGCAGGGGTGAGGGGTTTTTATAGCAGCACTGGTGTACAGGAACAGGGAACTGCCCATCCCCTGTGCTGGCACTGCTGAGGCACCTCCAATCCTGGGGTCATTTCTGGGCACAAAACACTTTGCAGGGCTGGAGCGTGTCCAGGGAAGGGCACAGAGTAAGGAAGGGRCTGGAGCACCAGGAGCGGCTKAGGGAGCTGGGAAAGGGGCTCAGCCTGGAGCAAAGGAGGCTCMGGGGGAACCTTGTGGCTYTGAACAATGGGCATCCAGGGCAGTGGGGTGGTATCAGGCTCTGCTCCCAGAGAACAAGGGAGGAAACAGCCTTAAGTTGTGCCAGGGGAGGTTTAGGTTGGATATTGGGAAACTTTCTTCACTGAGAGGGTGGTTAGGTACTGGCACAGCTGCCCAGGGCAGTGATGGAGTTGTAGTCTCTGGAGGGATTTGAAAGCTGTGTGGATATGGCACTTGTGGACATGGTTTAGTGGTGCCTTGGCAGTGCTGGGGGAATTGCTGGACTTGGTGCTCTTAGAGGTCTTTTCCAGCCATAATGATTCCATGACTGACTCKGCCTGGTGCTGGATCATGTACTGGGACAGACTGTGCTGTGATGGCTCTAAGCTGTGAAATCCAACCTTGGTGAAGGCCTGGGGGAGCAGAGCTGCTCTGTTGTGCTGCTTAGCAAAGCTGGAGAAGGAGATTTGGGTGTCTTTTTAGGTGCTTTCCCAGCATGGCTGTATGAGCCCTGTGACTTCTGCAGGTGGGATTTCCAAAACCCTTCAGAGCATCCAAGGGCACCTACACAGCCATCTGAGGCTTGGCCTGTCCTGCTTTTCCAAGAACTGCTGTCCCACTGGGGACTGAGGCACAGGAGGAACAGGGCTGGGTGCTTTATGGCAGGCCCTGGCTCGGGGCTGAGCTGAGGGAGTGGGTTCAAGGGTTACAACCCTGCAGGTGCCTCTTGGTGGGGAGTTGAATGCTTTAAAGATAAACTTCAGGGAGATGAGATTGGAAGCTGAGGTTTGTTTCCCTGTCACATCCAGTGACAGGATGCTGTGTGGGAGCTGGCAGCTGGCATGGCCTGGCCTGTCAGGGCCAKAGGGAAGGAGTCCTGGGAAATCTGTCTCTGAACAACATCCCTGCTGGACTGGGAGATAAGTGGCTGCTTCCCTTCTGCCTGTTGTCCTTGAGGCAAGTTGGGACAGATCTGTCACAAGGCTGGTTTCTCTCCAGTGAGCAGGAAAGTGGTTTCTCTTCTTCTCCAAGCACCAAGAGCACAGTYTTCCCCCAGAGGGTGCTTGCAGGTGGGCAGACGTCCCTGCAGACAGACGGGCTGCAGTGGAGCCAGGGCAGTGCAGTGGCTGAAGCCAGACAGCTGCCAAAGGGTCACTGGGCACCAGGGAGGGCATATCTTAGAGCATCCTGGGATAGTGAAAGGTGTCCCCACGTGTGGCAGGGGGTGGAACGAGATGAGCTTGAAGGTCCTTTCAACCCAAATGATTCTGGAATTCTGACAGCCCTGAAGCTCCCCAGGCCARGTGAGAGGTGGCTGCTGGATCCAGTTCCTGCAGAGGAGCGGGTGCTCCCACCACCACTGGATATTGGGAGCATTTTTTGGAGCCAGRAGTTGAACACCTGGCTCAGGGAGAAGTTGACCCTGGCTGGAGAAAGAGGTTGAAGTTCGCAGAGGCTCATGATGTGGGTGAAACTTCTTTGCGTYGGTTGATCTCGTGCTGGTTCCCCTGGGGGGTTTGGTGACCCAGGGGGTGGCCATGGCACATGGCAGCAGCGTGTAACCTCGTGTCCCTTTCCCCAGCCTACCTGTCTGGGAGCAGCATGGCGCGGCGCCCGCGGAGCAGCCGGGCCTGGCACTTTGTCCTGAGCGGGGTCCGGCGTGAGGCCGACAGCCGGGCTGGCACACGGGGCTGGGGCTACGACTCCGACGGGCAGGTAGGCTGGGCTCGGGGCTCTGGGTGGCACTGGGTGGCACAAGGGATGTTTTCCTCTCCCTGACAGCAGGTCTGTGTAACTGAGCGGCAAAACTGGCCAAAACCAGAAAAGATTTAATAAGTCGATATTGATACTAAGCGAGATGCATTTTAAAGCGTAGAAGGGATGTGTCATACATAAAGTACATCAGTATTTCAAAATATTTTTTTGGAAGTAGAGCTCTAGATAAGTGTTTGAAGTGGATCGGTTCCCTAAACCAGCTGTCTGTGCTCCCTCCTGGGCTGTAAGGGTGTTGTGGGCTTGGAGGTGGTGGTGGAGATTGCAGGGCRGTGTCTTCAGACTGAAATTTCTTCACATTTCCTGCTCTGTAATGTAACATCACTTCTGCACCTGGTCCAAGTGTGCTGGAGATGGGAACACAGCAGGGAGAGCAGGAGTAAAACAGTGCAAGGAATGACTTTGATTCACCTCTGCCATTCTTTGCTCTTTTCCCTAATTCTTGAGTGTGTGAGTTGAGTTCCCTGTGCAGTGGTGAGAGCATAAGGAGCTGCTTCAGAGCCAGGCAGAACCCATGAGGCCTCTGCCAGAGCACAGTGTCCAAACCCAGGAGCCTTTTTTCCTCAGTCAGAGCAGCTTTCTGTTCCTGCAGTCCCGGGATTTCTCGGTAGCACAAGTTAGGGAAGGTAGAAGTTAGGAAAGGCAGAACCCAGGCTCTGCAGGCCAGAGGAGCAGGACTGTGGCTAGTCCATATGTAAACCCKAGTAGTTTCAATTCCCTGCCTTACACAGCTGCAAGGTCATGAGTTTAAAGAATTTTTGTCATTAAATACCTCTTACCATGGGGGTAATTAACAAGCAGATACACCTGAGCTGTGTGTAAACCCAGAGTAACTYACTGCAATCAGTGGTAAGAGAATCCCTTTGGCGACACCATAACACAGGAGTGAGACAAGGCTGTGATTCTCACAATGTTCAGTGCAGGGACACGTTGGTCTCTTGGCACTGGGGAACACTAGATCAGTTTTTTGTGTTCATGAAAGTAAACAAAAAACCTTTAATCCTGCCCTGGATTCCCTGTGGGCCTGTCTGCAGTGCTGGCCTGAGGAGCTGCAGCCGTGCTGCTCAGCTGGCTCCCTTTGTTCTGTCCCCTCTCCTTTTGCCTCCTTGTGTCTCCCATGTTCCTTGCAGCCTCTCTAGAGCAGTGCTTGGCTCTGCTGATGGCTGGAACCTGCTTGGTGAAAGCCAAAGCTTTAGCACAGAGTTTGCTACAAAATGTGTGTGTTCAGACTTGGGCTGCCAACCTGCTGCCTCCTTGTCACTGGCAGGCACAGAGAATGCACCTGCACCACAGAGTGCTGAGAGGTCCCTGCAGCTCAGCTGGCTCTGTCTACATCCCAGAGCAGGGTAATTCCATGGRCATGGCCCATGTCCCTGTGTGACAGGCCGGGCTGGGACATGAGATGAGATGAGCCTGGCGATGTCCCTTCACAGAGCTCTGTTACATCTCCCCACACCCAGGGATGCCCGGCAGTGACCATGCCCTCTTCTCCCCAGCAGCACAGCGACTCTGATTCAGAGCCAGAGTTCTCTTCCCTGTCTCCCTCCATCCCAAGCGCCATCCCTGTGACTGGAGAGTCCTACTGCAAYTGTGAGAACCAGAGTGAAGCTCCCTACTGCTCCAGCCTGCACGCCCTGCACCGCGTCCGTGACTGCCGCTGCGGCGAGGAGGATGAGTGTGAGTGGCTCCCTTGGGGCTGGGTGTTGGGGGACCTGGGCACTGTTCTGTCCTCGTCTCAGCATTCCTTTGTTTACATCCTGAGGCTGTAGGAGGATTACCAGCTYGTGCCTGCTGTTGTGTTTCCAGAGCTCAGGCTGAAGCTGTTACAGCGTCAGTGCTCACCTCTGAGACCTGCTTTCTGATCCTGCTTAGGCCACCAGTAAACCAGAACCGGTGCTTAGGGCCCTCCTGATCCCTGGAATGGCTGGCAGGGTGCCTGGCTCGGAGCACAGTKTGGGCTTGGGCTGGCTGGGAGAGYCTGGGGCATGGCAGAGCCACCCCTYGAGCSCACCAGGAGSGKGGGGAGRAAGGKAGGCTCTGCCTGGTGTYAGCCAAAACTGGGCCTGGTGAATSCTGACAGCTTTGGAGCACTGATYTGTCCCTGGAGAGACATTASAGAGTAGCTCAGACCTCAAACAGYTCTCTCATATGAGCAACTTAAGATTTACCCTCTTAAACAACAAAAGAAATACAAATAAACCCACCAACTGGCCTTCAAAAGAAATGTTCACCTGTGCTTTGGCTTGGGAGTCRTTCCTTGAAGATCTTTGCCCATCCTTGCTCCTCTGTGCTTCCTCAACAGATTTTGACTGGGTGTGGGACGACCTGAACAAGTCGACGGCCACACTGCTGACATGTGACAATCGCAAGGTGAACTTCCACATGGAATACAGCTGTGGCACGGCTGCCATCCGCGGCAACAAGGAGCTGGCAGACGGGCAGCACTTCTGGGAGATCAAGATGACCTCCCCAGTGTATGGCACCGACATGGTACGTGTGGGGCACACAGAAATGCCCAGGGTTTTGGACAGGGAAGGATGGGTGGATGGGTGGAAGGATGAGGTTCCACCACAGCAGGTCAGGTTTCAGGCTGTCTGGAGGTGCRCAAGTCCATGAGGATGTGATKGGTTGAATCTCTGGGATCYGAGRGAATTGGTGGATGAAATKGCTTAGCCACTATCYGTYGTATTTGAGAAGTTGTGGCAGTCTGGTGAAGTTCCCAGCAACTGGAAAAGGGGAAACACAGCCCCTAGTTTTAAAAACAGAAATAAGGAAGACGTGGGGAAGTGCAGGCAGTCTCATCATAGTGCCTGGCAAGATMATGGAGCAGATTCTTTCGCTAGCTATGCAAAGACACATGGAAAAATTGGAGGTGATTGATGACAGCCATCATGGCTTCACTGATGGCAGCTCCTGCCTGACAAATTCAGTTGCCTTTTGTGAAGGGATTGCAGTGTTGGTGGATGAGGAAAGAGGAGCTGATATCATGTCTGAAATTGTGCAAAGCATTTGTTGCTGCCTTGCATGGCATCCTTGTCTCTAAAYTGGAGAGACATAGATTTGACAGAGGGACCACTCAGTGGATATGGAATTGTCTGGATGGTCACATGCAAAGAGTTGGAGTCAGTGGAGACCAGTGACAGGTGACATTGCTCGGGGCTGGTATTGGGGCTGGTATTGTTTTGCATCACTGCTGGGGACATGGACAATGCACCCTCAGCCCGTCTGGAGCTGACACCCAGCTGTGTGGGGAGGTCACAGCTGGAAAGGAGGGATGGGGCATCCATAGGGATGTCAACAGGCTGGAGAGGTGGGGCTGTAGGAAAAAATGCAACAAGGCCAAGTGCAGGGCAATCCCAGGCACAAATCTGGGCTGGGCAGAGAAGGGATCGACAGCAGCCCTGGGAGAAGGATATATGGGGTGTCAGAAGATGGGAGCTGGCCATGCCCTGGCCACGTGCACCCAGAACCCCACCTGTGCTGGCCTGAGCCCCCAGCGTGGGCAGCAGGGGAGGGGGGGATTCTACCCCTCTCCCTCTCAGGTGAGACCCCACCTGCAGAGCTGCCCCAGTCCTGAGGAAAAACAGCAGAAAGATGTGGAGCTGCTGGAGAGAGTCCAGAAGGGGCCACAGAGATGCTCCAAGGGCTGGAGCCCCTCTGCTCTGGAGCCAGGAGAAGGCTCCAGAGAGAGTTCAGAGTCCCTTCCAGGGCCTAAAGGGGATCCAGAAGAGCTGGAGAGGGACTTAAGAGAAGGTCCTGGAGTGACAGGCCAAGGGGGAGTGGCTTCACAAGTACAGAGGGCAGGGATGGATGGGATATTTGGAAGGAATTGTTCCCTGGGAGGGTGGGGAGGCCCTGGCACAGGGTGCCCAGAGAAGCTGTGGCTGCCCCTGGATCCCTGGCAGTGTCCAAGGCCAGGCTGGACGGGGCTTGGAGCAGCCTGGGACAGTGGAAGGTGTCCCTGCCCATGGCAGGGGTGGAATGAGATGAGCTTTGCAATCAATCCCTTCCAACCCATTCCATGACTCTGAACCGGACTATGACCTTCTGCAGCAGTGCAGCTGGGTCTCCTCACTTAGGAAAAGAAATTGGAGCTGGGAGTCTACAGCTCCACCCTGAAACTGCTGACTTAGCTTCACCAACCCCTTTGGGTGTTTTGGGCTGAGCCAAGAAGAGAAGGGAAGAAATGGAGGTGGAATCTTGGTTGTGTTTTGTTGCTTGAAAAAACACCAAGCTTGTGCTCTTACTACTTTTCCTCCCAGATGGTGGGAATTGGGACATCAGATGTGAACCTGGACAAGTACCGGCACACCTTCTGCAGCCTGCTGGGCAAGGATGAGGACAGCTGGGGACTCTCCTACACAGGTAACATGGACAGGGTGGCTGCATGGGCAGCAGTGGCATCAGAGGTGCCACCAGCCCTGTGAATCCCTTGTTAAGGACACTGGAGTAGCATCTCTCCTGGACCACATTTTGCAGAGCCCTTACCCTGTGTGGGACCCTCCAGGGCATCTGGATGCTACTGTCACATCCCCACTTTGGGGTTTTGGTACCACTCCCTGCACTCTGGAGTTGCAAAACCTCAACTTTCCTCTTTCCACCGGCCACTCTGGGATGGGAGGGCRGGGATCAGGCAATGCAAGGATGTGTTTGGCATTGAGAGAGGCTGTACCAGCTGGGAGTTGGGATGAATTCTTGGAGGGCAGGTTTCCACAGAAGGCCATTTTTTGGTGTGTTTTTAGGACTGCTGCATCACAAAGGTGACAAAACAAACTTCTCCTCGAGGTTTGGCCAAGGCTCCATTATYGGGGTGCATTTGGACACGTGGCACGGGACACTCACATTCTTCAAGAACCGCAAGTGCATAGGTGAGAGCCAGGGATGGGGTGGCAGGAACTCAAGTCTGGCTGCAGCAAAAAACACTGGGAAAGCAGAAGACCAAGGTGTGAAGTGAGTGGGAGGAAGGTTCCCTTTGTTATTTAATAGACTGGATTTTGAAAGGCTTCTCCCAACAGCTTTGCAGTTAATGGGTTTGGGATAGGTATGAGGAGGGAGATCAAGGTGTCTAAACATGCTGGTTAAACTAACATCCCTGCTGCTGTGCCCTGGCAGGGGTGGCAGCCACCAAGCTGCAGAACAAGAAGTTTTACCCCATGGTGTGCTCAACAGCAGCCAAGAGCAGCATGAAGGTGATCCGCTCGTGTGCCAGCTGCACGTCATTGCAGTACCTGTGCTGCTTCCGCCTGCGCCAGCTCCTTCCCAACTATGTGGACACGCTGGAGGTGCTGCCCCTGCCCCCTGGACTCAAGCAGGTGCTGCACAACAAACTGGGCTGGGTCTTGAGCATGAACTATAGCACGTCAAAGCCTTCCTCCTCCTCGTCTTCGGGCAGCGACTCGGACAGCTCGTGCAGCTCGGATGCAGAGGCCTGCCAAAGGAAGAGGTGCAGGAGGACATAATGGCTCTGCACGCCGGGTGAGTGGAGGTTTATTGTGTTGTCTGCAAGGGCCAACCTCTTCCTTCATGGGGACATCCATTTGTATTCRGTGGCAAAGATTTCTCCAGTGCTGTGGAAATCTTTGGCCTCGACATCCATCACAGGCATTTGGAAGAGTTGTTGGCTCCAAGAGGTGCCAGTTCTGACACAAGAAAATTGTGGTGAAGTATCTGAGTATCTTCACCTCCTGACTTGCTATCAAAGCCAGCACCTCTTCCTGAAGGATCTCTCTTCTCCCTGTTGGCACAGACAACRTTTAAGAAATTGGACTTGATGACAGGAGTTGGACTTGACAATCTTCATGGCTCCCTTCCAACTCAGGATATTCTGTGATGATTGAGGTGGCCTCCTGGTTGGAGTGTACTGGATTCCAGTCAAATAACGGACCTGACTCATCAAGACACGATCCCAGGCTAGTCCTCTCCCTCACTGTGTGTGTAGGTTTGGTGTCTGCCATGACCTCGTCCCGCTGCTGTGGGGCACAACGGAGCAGCAGCTGTAGGGAAAGGAGCCCCACAGCCCCACTGCTGGGAGCAGGTACAAGAGCTGAGCTGTGGCTGGTCTTCCTCGRGCCCCTGGGGACTTYTAATTGCTCTGCATGTTGGTTCCTGCTGCTTCTCCTCTGTCCAAAACTGTGTTAAACTGTAATAATAAAAGTAGAAGCTGTCTGTTGTTCCTCTTGGGGCCCCTGAAGGCAGGAGGCTGCAGGTGCTTGTCAAAAATAGTCTGGCCAGCAGGGTGAAGGGGAGCTTTTGGGTGCAGCAGTTGTGTGCCAGAACTGGAGGAGGTGAAGACAGCAGAGATGCCCTCATCTGCAGGGCTCTTGTGCTTCCCACTGAAGCAGAAGCCTGGTTGGGTGATGTTCAGTGGAGCCAGGCCAGTGCCCATGGCTGTGCACAGGAAGGGAGGCCGCAAGTCTTACAGTGCCTGTCTTTAGGCAGGTCACACTGGGACAGAAACCCCAAACCCTCACCCCAGAGCCTGGGAATCAGAGCAGCCCCTCCAAGACTTCGTGGTTGTGCTGAGGGGAATTGCTGAATTAGGATCTGGAGGAGTGACTGATTGTGCAGTGGTGTCATGTCACTGCCAGGGAACAGGCCCTGTGCTCCCATGGGATTGGTGCCAGTCCCTGCAGGGCCTGTGGTCAGCCCAGTGCAGGTTTCCCCAGCCTTTGAGCTCTCCTCTGGTGGACAGCTGAGGATTCAGGGCTGAGCTGGTGCTGTCAGCCTTGCAAAGCGCATTGGAAAGTGAAACCTCTATCCTGCTGTGAGGTATGGAAGGGAAATGGCTTTTAACCAGTTCTCTCTGGTTGTTCCCTCCCAACAARTTCCAGCTGCTGCCTTTTCCTCTGCTCCCATCACAGACCCACATYGGGTCAGGTAAAACTTCCCTGCTGCGCTCATTCCCAGATCCTGAAGCAAAGACAGCTCTGCTCTTCTGGGGCCAGGCTTTGAATGAGAGCTTTTCTGCAATGGCTCAGGCTCTGTCCGTGCCTCTGGATTGCTGCTGCAGCAGAACAAACTGCCTTGCTGGTTGCTCTTCCCCAGAAACTGATGGAAGCAGCAGCAGCTGGAGGCAGAGGAATCCCTGGCAGGGAGGAAGGTGGTTTGGAGGGGCCCTCCTGCTCCTGCAGCACAGATTGTTCCGAGTCTGTGGGAGGAAGTGCAGGGATTCTGTGTCACTGTGGAAAGCCCCAGTGAACAATCCCAAACCTCAGCAGGCACTGGGGGAGCCTGACCCCGCTGTCTTGGCTGTGTCTGTTTCTGAGTCATAATGGAGTGTTTGCTTTAGGAAAAGAGAATCCCATCCTAACTCACCATTTCCCATGGATTTTCTGGAGCTTATCCAGCATTTTATCGTGTTGGGAGTTCAGTGAACAAAATCCTCTGCCCTGCCCTGAGCTCTGTTACCCCAAGGATGTGGTTTCTCTYTAACTAGCTGGTTCTACAGTTGGCAAGTGTTTTTCAAAGTGACTCAAACAGGACCCACCTGTCCCTGGAAGCCACAGCAGGGTCTACAGTAACAGATCCAATCCCCACAAAGAGCCAGAGCAGGTCATGGAAAGTCAGGACACACTGAAGAAAAGAAGAAAAACACATGGCTTGTCCAACACCTCACCTGCAAGAACAGAGCTACACCCAGCCACTGTTCCAACACTCCTCAGCTCTCAGACAGCTTTCCAGCCAGTGGGATAGAGAGCTGGGGAAGCTAAAAGAGGAAATGAGAGCCAAGAGGCTGAAGAAAGCATCTGTAACAAGACATTTATTGATGTGCAAGTCTCTGTTCTGAAGGAGAATCAGCTGCTTCCCCTGGCCGGGCTCCCAGCTGCAGCTCAGCCTCGGCCAAGCACRGGCAGATAAAAAGAGTGACCAGGACAGAACCAGGACAAGGTTTAGCTGAGAGATGTGGCAGGGTAAGTTTGCCCCAACACAGTGGTCTTCGCCACTGATGTCCCATGTCACTGGGATGCTCAGGAGCAGTAATTTCTCACCTTCTGTGCTGCACTCTCAATAGGCCTTTGAGCACACGAGGGAGCAGTTAGCACAGATGCTCCAGAAGACCCCAGTCTTTCCTGCAGGACTCAGTCCCACTGAGGATCCATGACTGAGCCTTCATCCACACCCACCAGGATGAGGGGGAAAAAGCTCAGAAGAAACATCTATTCCTTGGAAACACACCTTACACACACTTGTGTGCTGTCTCTCTAGGGAGAGCTGTGAAGCCACTTCATAAAATCCTAGAATGGAATGGATTGGAAGGACCTTAAACTCCACCTTGTTTCACACCCTGCCATGGGCAAGGACACCTTCTATGATCTCAGATTTCTCCAAGCTCCAATGTCCAACCTGGCCTTGGACACTGCCAGGGATCCAGGGGCAGCCACAGCTTCTCTGGGCACCCTGTGCCAGGGCCTCCCCACCCTCCCAGGGAACAATTYCKWCCCAATATCCCATCCATCCCTGCCCTCTGGCACTGGGAAGCCAGACATTAAACACAGAAGATGCTGTACTGGGGGCAGAGATCAAAGCTCCAGGAGAAGGAAAAGTACAGGAGAGTATTTGATCATATGAGATTTTAGAAAAAAAGTTCTGTCACAGCTCCTCTTCCAGTGGGAGTTTTATGTGATTAATGTTCAAAAAAACAACACTTGCTGATAAAAATGTGCSCTTATCCATTGGCTGAGCTGAGCTGCTCTCAGAAGGGTCAGAGCATCCCAGTCTAATCCTGTTCCTGACGCTTGTAAGTCAGGAACAGCAGAAAGCTCACGGGAATGGGGAGAGGGAGAACTTAATGAGCTAAAGCAGCTCCCACAAGGATCAGAGAGCAGAAGAGCAAGAAAAGTGTGGAGTACACCATGAGGAGAGCTTAGGGTCCTGTGGAAAACCCTGAGAGGTCTGGGGTGACACATTCTCTGCCTGAGGGGATGGAGCTGTCACACTGCAGCAGCAGCCACTGTGTCAATACCAGGGCACACAAAATCAGAGCTGAGGGACAGAGTGGGGAACAGGGGATGCCCCAACAACCCCTGAGCTGGGWAGGGCAACCAAAGGCATCACCAGGGGAACAAGCACAGATGCTTTGAGCAGGTCCTGGGAGATGAGACCATGGCAGGGAGAGGCCTGGGAGAGCCAACAGGAGGGTGAGAGCTACTGCTGGAACACAGTTCTAGTTCAATCACACACTCACCCAGAGACAGGCCTTGCTGAGCTGGGGAACTGCTGGCACACTCAAGGCTTATTTTTTCCATCAGCAAAGAACTTTACGTGAGGATGGCCATGACAGCCCTCCCTGCCCTTGTCCTCCCAGCTCTRACAGGCCACAGAGGGCTTTGAGGGCTTATCTGTAACAGGGGAGGGGCTGCTTCTGAAGCTGCTGCTGCTGCAGGCTGACTTTTCTACTGCTGGAATTGTCACTTCCACACCTGCCAGAGTTCTGGGCTGTCCTCCACTTGCACCCTCTGACCCAGGCCCTGGAAGGACAGGAAGGAAACTCCCACAGCTCCAGCTGYCTCCTGCAGAAAGAGCTGGAGCAAGGCCTGAGGCTGATGTGTGCACAGACCCCAGACCCTGCAGCCCGCCCCTGGCATTAAGCTCTGGGCTTCTAAAGGCTCTTTCTGCCAAGGGTTAATATTTTTTCCCACTCAGTTTTCTTTCCTTTCCTGGACATCTCAGGACCACAGGGGTGAAAAGATCTTCCTAAGGTCATCTTTCCTCCTTTCCCAGTGCTGAGTCACCACTGCATTCACCAYGAGAACAGATTTTCATCTGCAGAGAGTCAGAATGATCTTGAGACACACAAATAGTCTGGGTCCTTCTCGTGACAGCATCAAGGACAGGCTGGCAGCCACGACAAATGTTCCTGTAACTTTCACTGAGGTTTCCCAAAGCTCTGGGCTTGGGATGTGAAGGAATGACTCACTTACCCAGGTGTTTTGTTACTGCCCTTGTCAGTGCAGAGRGGTGTTGGCCAAATTCCTGCCCCATGTCTGGGGACAGCACTGTGGTGTTTCCCCATGGATGCAGGCACCTGCAGGAGAAGTGATAGGGATGAAACAAAACACACCAAGACTACAAAACACAACCAAGAGRACAAGAACAGGCTCAGATGAGCCAGGACAGCCCTGGAAGTCCTCACCCTCCTCACCCCTCTAGCACTTGTGTCACCAAAGACACCCRGTGAGAGCAGCGGGGCAGTGCTGGAGTCACCATYCCTGGGAGTGGCCAGAAAAACCAGTGGAAATGGCACTTCCCCATATGGCTTACTGGGCACGGTGGGGGTTGCTCAAAGATTGGACTCGATCTTGTAGGTCTTTTCCAACCTTTRCARTYCCATGAAAGCACATGGGTTGGACGCATCCCTGGGCGGGATGAAGGCGGGCCGGGCTGGCAGGGGAGGGACCTGGGCCGGCAGGGTGGGAGCCTGAGCTGTCCAGAGCTGCAGCTCTGTTTACTCAGCTCCAGCAAAGCTGCTCATCCTTCTTAGCTCCCTCTGGGGCACATTCCGGCAGAGCAGGAATTTAGTTCAAGGGATATCAAGGCAGGGTTTAGATGGTGTTTGACCTACTTTGTGACTGCTGCGGCATCACAAGGAGCAGTGCTGGGGGGACACAGACTCTGCAAGGCAGGGAGCTGAGGGAGATCCAACAGCCCTTTTCACAGCTGAGCAGTTGGTGGTGGATTTGGGGAGGGGAGGCCGTGTTCAGGTGCCTCTGAACCCCGGTCCTAAGAACAAAGGGCTCCAAACAATGCTCAAAGTTTGCAGTCCCCTTCAATCCCACTGCCAGCCAGGGTGAAGGTGTAAGCCAGCCAGCAGCTCCCTGGCAAAGCATTCCTGCACAGAAGCAGTGTGAGACTTTGCCATCAGCTCAACCCCAGTAACAGAAAACTTCAAGGACTCTTAAGTTTTACCTCCAGTCTCTCCTGGTGAGGCACAGGAAASTTCCTGGGAGCTGGGGCTCTGCACTCTCAGGCTCAGGAGCTGCTGCCTGCCCTGCTCTGGGCAGAGGGCTCATGCAGGAGCCCCACACTCACACCCCACTGCTGGTGGCTGGAAAGAGGGAAAGGTCAGCCTTAACCCCCCCCATATCTGCCTTCTCTGATCTTAGAGCTGGAGATAAAGGTGTGGCAGCAGCTTCCCTGTGAGTGGGAGACCCCAACCCAGGGTAAGAGCCACTGGCTGCCTCTGCTGGCAAAACTCAACAGGTCACAGCTGGGTTTTTATACAAAAAAAATTATCCTTGCAGGCTCAAAGGAGGAGTTGAGGTGGTGAGACAAGGGCTGGTCCTGAGGAATCATCCCTGATCCTCCAAGAGCTGGAGCCCCTCTGCTCTGGAGCCAGGCTGGGAGAGCTGGGGGTGCTCACCTGGAGAAGAGAAGGATCCATGGAGAGCTCAGAGCCCCTTCCAGGGCCTAAAGGGGATCCAGGAGAGCTGGAGAGGGACTGGGGACAAGGGATGAGGGACAGAACACAGGGAATGGCTTCCCACTGCCAGAGGGCAGGGATGGATGGGATATTGGGAAGGAATTGTTCCCTGGGAGGGTGGGGAGGCCCTGGCACGGGGTGCCCAGAGAAGCTGTGGCTGCCCCTGGATCCCTGGCAGTGCCCAAGGCCCGGCTGGATGGGTCTTGGAGCAGCCTGGGACAGTGGAAGGTGTTCCTGCCCTTAGATGGAATGGGATGAGCTTTGAGGTCTCTTCCAACCCAAATCATTCTGGGATTGTTTGAAATGCTCCAGACAGAACAAGGACAGGCCAAGCTACTATAGCAGCATCTGTGMCAGAATTTTGGATGTGATCATACCACCAGCATTGAGGAGACTCCTCTGCTGTGCACCTACAAGGACAGGAAAGACCCAGCACTGGGAGCAGCACAGGAGTGACACACTCAGGGCACAGGAAAAGGGCTCCAGACCCTGAACATCTGTCAGGGCACTGAACCAGTCCTGCTRCCTTCCTGGCTCACCTTTGTCCCCAGAGATCAGCACCAATCTCCTCACTGGCACTGCCTATTCCAGCCTGTCCTTCTCTAGTCTTGGATGGGACTGCATGCACTGGAAATTTCTCAGGGAAGAAGCACAGGCTGCCCAGACAGATATAAATAAAATGCTCACACAAGTGAGAACTCCATGAATCTTTTCTTCAAAGTGCAAGTGTTTCCCTAGGCTGTGCACTCTGAACGTTTCTTTCAAGGAAATGTTTTACAGACTCCATGAGAACAGAAAAGCTAAATGCAAGCAAAGGCAAGTCTGGCCTGGGCAGCTCCCTCTGAGGGAGCAGCACCTGTCCCAAGGTTAAAGGTGCACCCCTGGAGACCTCCTGCTGTACTCAGATAGCTTCTCCCAGTTTTCAAACACCCCCCTCTGTATCGGAGCTTTGTTCCAGGGTGGAGCAAKGGCATTTTTGAATGGATCCTCTTGTCTGTTCCATGCTCAGTCAGAAAGTGACTGTGCTGGAGAGTGTTTTGTGTAGCTCTGGCTCTGACATCTGTATCACCTGGATCAGGGAAAAGGTGCTTAAGGAAATCTGGCTCTACCAACCCCTCTTTATCCTAAAGAAGATGGAATAACTTCCAGCAGGATCAGGGGTGCAGATGAAATCAGACAGGTCTGCACCTCTGCAGAGCCCACACTGTAAGAGGCTGTGTCAGTGCTACACTGTTGAAAGACCATGGCTGAACTGAATGGTGAAAATCCTCCCCAAACACACAAAATGGTGCAAAAAGCCTGAGAAGGAAGGCAGTGCCAACTGCAGGAGTTGCTAAGTGTGATGAAAGGAGACAAAAAGCCTTTGTGTGCACGGCACAGTGCTGGATGGCCACGTTCTCTGCACCTACATGCTCTGGATCTCTTACATAACCACAGAATCTGCAATGTTCTATCCAGCGAGAGCAAAAATAGAGTTCTGCCTCCGCCTGAAATTCCTGCAGTGGGGGCGAGCACAGGAACAGCCCCCCCCAGCCTCCCCTGCCACACTGGGATCCTTCCTCACTGAACCTTCCCACTGAAATGGGAGCTGTTTGGGGCTGGAAGGTACCTGGCCTTTCAGGTTCCCACCGAGGGGTTTAAGAAGCGATCACTGGGGCTTTCCACACAAAGCAGCAAATTTGTCCCTCCTTTTCCAGATGTGCAGCTGTTGCTCGTGGCTGCATTCCAGGCACACATCTGGGCTGGGAATGCTGAGCACCCAAGTGAAACCTCTGTAGGAAGGATTTGTTGGCTCATTCTGGCTTACTGCAGCTTCCTGGGCTCACCCTAGATACACACCTGCCTGAAACTGTGCCTAAAAGACACTGGTTCAGGAATAATATGTGTGGGAATCAGGCCAACTCCATTTCCCAAGCTATCTGGTCACCAGTAATCTGCATTTCTGGGGTTCCTAGAGAGGGAAYCAAAGCTTTCTCCCCACTGCACATCATTGCCAGAGAAGATGAGATGGACTCACCACATGGAGAGTGTTTGGCATGTTTCTCCTCCAGGTTCTGCTGCAGGAAATTACCTGAAGCTCAAAACAACATTTGCAGTCCAAGGAAATAAAAAATCTTCACCCAAGTGCCTGAACTGGAATCTTTGAGGAGACCTGGAGAGAGGGACAGAACAACCCTGGTGTGAGAAAAAGAGGCATTTCATCAGCATTAATAAAACCAAAAATAAAGCAAGTGTGAAAGGAGGTATTCTGCCAGTGTGGAAGTCTGGCTGCCTGCAGCACACACTGAGTTGGGGACTGTGTTGTTGACTTCATCACCGACACCTCTGCAGGCACMTTGAAAATTGTCCTAGAATAAATCTTATTAAATCGGCAGAAACATCATTATTTTTGAAATAGCTCTCTGTGAAGGAAGACTGAGATCAGCCATCAGGCTGGAGTTAGGAAGCTGGGTTTCACCACCTGCCCCACTCCCTTCAGCCCCACTCCCTTCATCCCTGTGCATGCCAGGCTGGACACACGGATGTCACCGGGAGCACACGGGGAATGTGCTCTTAATGAGTGGCTCTGTGAGTAGCTAATGAGAGCTGACAACATGCATTAGGCACCTTCCTCAAAGCACTCTGCAAACTTTGCAAGCCATGTGAGAGCTGTTTCTTTTCACRGACACCTGCTCCAAACAGGATTTGTTCGAGATGTTCCAGCAAAACAGCCTGGCCGTCCCTAAGAACAGGTGCTTGTCCACCTTAAAAATTCCAGCATCGTTTTAGGGGAGCTTTGCCAGCGGGACGGGATGGACCTTGGGATGCCGAGGGCTGGGTGAAGGCTGGGAGCTCCTCCGCGCTGCCTGCGCTCCCTCTGCCGGCACCAGAGCTCCGGGAACAGCAGGGAAAAGCCTCTGGGAACGCCCTCACCTCCAAGCCTTGTCCCCGACCCCACAACCGACAGTGTTTGTCCTACAAAGACTTTGCCACTGGCAGAACGATAAACACCACAACAGGACTGTGCTGGAGCAAACAGGGACGACTTTCCTCAGACAAAGCCATGCTCTGGACCTCTAGGATACAACCTCTAATTATTTATTGGTACGAACGCCGGAATAATTTATTTAAAACTRTGTTGGATAAAGCAGCTGGATGGAGACAGATCCCTGCTTGTCCCAGCCAAGTCCTGAACAGAGGAGAGCGAGCAGATCACTGTCTCTGAGCAAGAAGCAGGTGGGAAGCAGACCCAGCCCTCCATGAGGCACCTGGAACAGCTCTGGGAGCAAATCCAGCCCTCTGCGGGGCACCTGGAGAAGGTATTTCATGGGCTGGTGTTTCCCGAGGCTGATCTTGGAGGGAGCTGAAACAGGAGATGAGTTCCTGAAAGTAGGCAATGGAGCCCCAGAGTGCAKTTCTTGCTGTCGCTCCAATACGACCTATGAGGTGGGGAGCAGGTCAATAAGCGGGATCTTACACCCCAGAATTAAATCAGCAACACGTGCTCCGTACAGAGGAGCTCCCCCAGCCCTGCGGGGCTGCAGTTCTGCCCTTTTGCTCTTGCAGCAGGGCCCGTGGGAGCTCAGAGCTCCTCTTCCTCAGGTGCTAACCTGGGCCTGCCCGAGCTAGAGRGGCTGCTCAGGGACTACAGCAGGTGACCAATAACCAGACTAGTCCAACCACGACTAGTGTACAGTCACGACCGCAACGACAGAGGTAGCGAAGGCAAAACAGCCTCATAAACAGGCGGGACGCTGTCGCCGGGCCACGGGCACAGGGGAGCTGAGAGGCGGCAGCAAGGAGGGCGCGGGTGGGACACCTCGCACAGGTGGAGCCTGGTTCACCCCCTCTCCCTCGGTCCCCGGGGCCGCTCGGGCCCAGGCCGGGCTGGCGGCACCGAACCCCTCCTGTTGCCATGGGCACGGCCGGACCTGGTGYCACCGTATCTCGGCCCCGCCGCTCCGCGGCCCCGGCACGATGGTTCCGCGGGGGGCGGCGACAGCGCGGGGGGAGCGCGGCCCCTTTAAGAGCGGCGCCGCCATGATCTGCCTGGTGCTGGGGCTSTTCGCCGGCCTCTTCCACAGCGGTACGGAACGGGACGGGACGGGACGGGACTGGACGGGACGGGATTCCGGGCCTGTGTCTGCGGACAAGGGACCTCCCTTCCCCTGGAGAGACCCCGCGGCTGAGGGCGCCGGCCCGGGCCCCCGTTACCCCTGTGTCCTCTGTGCCCGAGGCCGCGGCCAGGACCCGCCCTGCCCTCCTGTGCCGGATCCGCCGTGTCTCCGCGGCTGAGGGCCGGGACCCTCCTGTGCCCCCTTGGCTGAAGGTCCGGAGGCAGMTCCTTCCCCCCCTCAGACCYCTGCCCTTTCTCTGCAGCCTTCAGYGGGGTCAATGAACGCACCTTCGTGGCCATCAAGCCGGACGGCGTCCAGCGGCGCCTGGTCGGGGAGATCATCCGGCGCTTCGAGAGGAAGGGGCTGCAGCTGGTGGGGATGAAGCTGCTGCAGGTGAGCGGCCAGGCCCGCCCAGGCTGGCGGTTCCTGGAGCCGAGGAACCCCTACGGGCCCCCAGGCTTCGGCTGTGCTGGGAACTGCTGGGGGTTCTGCCTGTCATCCGGCTTGAACAGCACCAAATGCTCACAGCTTAGAGSAGTGTTGGCACCAGGAGGGTGATTCCAGCTGTGAGCAGCGTGTCTGCCCTTGGCTGTGCCCGTGCTCCAGGGCTGTCATAAGCTGTCTATAAGCTGCCAGGTGCTGCTGCTGCTCTGACCTGGAAACTCCTGCCTGTGTCAGGCTCCTGCTGTTTCATTCTTTGAATGGAGCATTGGTGCAAGAGCTTAATTCTTTTAATTCCCTGCATCTGTGAGGTGCAGCCCTTGCCCAGATCTCCCCATGTGGGAGCAGATTAAGTTCTGTGCTCTGTGCAGGCCTCGGAGGAGCTGCTGAAGGAGCACTACATCGCCCTCCGGGACCGTCCCTTCTACGGCCGCCTAGTGAAGTACATGAGCTCCGGGCCCATCGTGGCCATGGTGAGTGCTGAGCAGGGCTCCTGGACCAAGGGGCAAGGAGGACGTGCAAGGTGTGAGCAGCACTGGCTCATGGATGACTGCATGATGGAAGCAAGGTGCTTTCTCCCCTCAGAGTGTCTCTTGAAACTGTACTGAAATGCAGGGATGTTTTCTGTGGTAAATTAAATCACAGAGTGGTTTGGCTGGAGTAGACCTTAAAGGTCTCGTTCCGCTCCCTGCCTGGCCAGGGACATCTTCCATAGACCAGGTTGCTCTAAGCCCCCTCCAATCTCTCCTTGAACACTTGCAGGGATGGGGAGAAGTCCACAGACAATTTGGATTATTTTCTAAAATCAAGAAGAATAATTTGGAAGAGACCATTACCTGTCTCTCACCCAGGTGGATCCAATGGGGAATTCAGAGGACAGATGTGACCTGCTGGGGCAGTTGTGGAAGCTGATCCTGGTTTTGCTCTGCTGTAGGTCTGGCAGGGCCTGGATGTGGTGAAGACAGTTCGCACCATGATCGGGGAGACCAAYCCGGCTGAATCCAAGCCTGGCACCATCCGAGGGGACTTCTGCGTTGAAGTCAGCAAGTGAGAGCTTTTYCTTCCTTCAGTGTTTCAGAACATCCTGTCCAGGTGTTTGTGTGCCAGGCCTGCCCAAGCCACCTGAGTCTGYATTGCCAGGGCAGAGCTTCTCCCTTCTGTGCTCAGACCAGAGCTGAGTTCTGCCTCCTGGGGTTGGCTCTGGCAGGAGAAGAAGCCTTGGTTGTCTTTCCTTTTTCCCAAGGCTCCTGGGAAAATATAGTTTACCTGTGTTTTCCTCTGGTGATTGGGACTGCCAGGCTGTGAAGAGGAAAGAAGGAGCCCACTTAGTCCTTTCCTGGGAGTAGGGGAAGATGCTTGGGTGGCCACAGTCTGATCTGTGATTGATGTGCCTCTTAGTGAACCCTCCTGGCTTAGATGTGTCTTCCCTTGTGWCTGATACCAAACCTGSTTTGATGGAAGGGAGAAAACCTGGRGGCACAGCTGGAATCACTGACATAAAAAATGCAAACCCCAGACCAACAGCCTTTACAGCTCCTCCTGTAGCAAGCAAATGGCTCCTCAGCACAGGAGGAAGGAGTGCTGGGAACTGGCGCTCCTGGAAGGACGATGGGTGTGTGATAGGAAGGGATATTGTGGGACAGGACTATCCCACAGTTTAATTAAGCTCCATCAGTTTAATTAAGTTGGCCGAGGTGGAATTCCTCAGCCTGCAGCATCCCTGATCCACCTTTGTCAGCCTGGTGCCAGCTGCTCCCTTTGTCCTTGCCCACAGGAATGTGATCCATGGCAGTGACTCGGTGGAGAGTGCCCAGCAGGAGATCTCRCTGTGGTTCCGCCCGGAGGAGCTGCCGTGCTGGGAGGACACAGCTGCACACTGGATCTACGAGTGAGGAGGAATCCCAAGGGAAGTGCATCTTCCTGCTGGGGCACAGGACATTTCCATCCATTTCATGGCAGCTGCTGGGGCTGGCTGCAGATCCTGCTGTGGGATTCCTGTTCTGCCTGGGGGATCCTGAGAGCTGGGCTGTGTGTGGAACTCTGTGGTTCAGCTCCTGCCAAGAGCAGCTGTTTCTTTTTTTTCTCTCTCTGCTCTAGTAGGTAGTTGGTATTATTGCTCTGTTTGCTGCAGCATCTTAAGTCCCTAGTAGCCTGAACTGATTCACTGAAGTAAAACTTGGCCTTTTGGCCCATTCCTGGGTGTTCCCATCCCTGCCTGGAGCAGGAGAATGGGAGCACTTCTCTCTGCTGTGAGAGAAGTGCTGGTAACTACAAGGTGATGGGCTTGACAATTTACCTGCATTTCTAMAAGGCTTTTCACCAAAAGCTTTTAAAGAATTGGGCTGCTGTTGGATAAGGGGGCAAATTCTCATTTTAGTTCAGGGACAAGGAATGAAGGATGGGACAATCTTTCCCTTGGGGGAAGCTCTGCGTGCTGGGGCTGGCACAAGTTCACCCAGATGAGCAAGTCCATGGAAGGGAGATTGTCCAAAYGCTGTTAAACGCACAGTTCTGCTGGCTCTGGTTCCTGCTCTGTGGGTGCTGGGAGTGGGAAGCAGCTCCTCCAGGTGCTGAGAGAGGGAACAGCTCCTCCAGGTCTGCTCTGGTTCTCTGGGGCTGCACTGGCTCAACCTGACAGCCTTGGTCCCACACTGTCCCTCCGTGGTGACTGACATGGAACAGCAGCACTGGGGAACCCGCAGGAATGGAAGGGGGAGAGGGAGGCAGGGAAGGATTTATGGATCTGAGGCTCGGGAATGACTGTTTAGAAGAGCATTTAGTCCTCTCTTGTGCACAACACAGGCTCTGGAGTCCTGACACTGAGCTCGGGGAGATCCTGAGTTCTTCCTTGTCTGACAGTGGAGCTTTCCTGCTGGGAAATCGGGAAACCAGTTTGTAATGGGCTGGACACCACCTGTGAGCTGTCCCTGGGCCACCCAGCTCCTCAGAGCTGTGCTGTGTCTGAGCTCCCTGTGCAGCCTCACCAGARCATAAGGACAGGGACAGCAACATGGCATTGTGCCATAGAACAGGGACACAGTTAAACTGAGGGAACAAGATCCCTGGGATTTTCCCATGAGTAGGGTGAGTTTTACCTGTGCCCCAAAAGCCTGTCCCTCTGGGTCCTCAGCTTTGTAGGTGTTGGGGAATGAGGGCAGAGTAAAGTGGTGCCTACTTCTACTCCGGGCTGGCCCCATGGTGGTGGGGCAGGGGTGGGGGTCTCCCTCCAGTGCTTTCTTCAGTTGCCTCAGCCAGGGCTCCTACTGCCTTGGGGCCTTCTCCAGGCACCTGTGTCCAGCTCTTAAATAACTGACAGATCCTATTTGTTCCTGGAACTTGTCCACTTGGCTGAACTTTGAGTCTGGCTACAGCAGGGCTGCAGGAGATGCTGGTGAAGCGAAGACCAAGGTGTGAAGTGAGTGGGAGGAAGGTTAAATTTATTTTTTAATAGATGCAGTGAGAAGAGCTCTTGGCTCCAAGAGCTGCCAGCTGTGACACAGGAAAATTGTGGAGAAATACCTGAGATTCATCTTCTGCCATTGCCTCTTYCTCTGCCTCCTGCCTCTTTTCCCTGTCTACATGGAAAGGATTTGAGATGCCCTCCCAGTTTCAAATAACAGACCTGACTCATCACAATCAAAGTCCTCTCCCCTCACTGTGTGTGTAGGTTTGGTGTCTGCCATGACCTCGTCCCGCTGTGGGGCACAACGGAGCAGCAGCTGTAGGGAAAGGAGCCCCACAGCCCCACTGCTGGGAGCAGGTACAAGAGCTGAGCTGTGGCTGGTCTTCCTCGRGCCCCTGGGGACTTYTAATTGCTCTGCATGTTGGTTCCTGCTGCTTCTCCTCTGTCCAAAACTGTGTTAAACTGTAATAATAAAAGTAGAAGCTGTCTGTTGTTCCTCTTGGGGCCCTTGAAGGCAGGAGGCTGCAGGTGCTTGTCAAAAAAKAGTYTGGCCAGCAGGGTGAAGGGGAGCTTTTGGRTGCAGCASTTGTGTGCCAGAACTGGAGGAGGTGAAGACAGCAGAGATGCCCTCGTCTGCARGGCTCTTGTGCTYCCCACTGAAGCAGAAGCCTGGCTGGGGTGATGTTCAGKGGAGCCAGGMTGAWGCTGCAGCACCACATGCTTGTGGCAGCAGAACCAGCAGGGTTTGTTCTGCTGGATTCACAAAATCCCAGAAAAGCTGGGGTTGGAAAGGACCTCTGGAGATCATCCAGTTCCCTGTCAGGGCAGGGTCACCTGGAGCAGCTGTGGGTTTGGAATGCCCCCAGAGTGGGAGACTCCACACTCTCCCAGGGCAGCTGTTGCAGTGTTCTGCAACCATCAGYGAAAAAAATTCTTCCTCATGTTGAGGTGGAGTTTGTGTTGTAGTTTCTAGCCACAGTTCTTCGTTTTGTTGCTGGGCACCACTGGAAAGAGCTCTGCACCATCCTCTTGGCTCTATGCCAACCCGGTGCCAGTTCCTGCAGKCTTCTGCTCCCAGGGCTTTTTCCTGGATTTTGAGCAGTGCATTTGCTGAGGACTTAGGTCTGAGCTTGTGCCTTCAGTCAAACACAAAGAGTATTTGAAAAGGGAATAGGGTTGAAATTTTTATGGGACGGGAAATGGCTTGTGACCCATTGTTTCCATAGTTTCCCTCCCAGGACCCTYAGTGGGAACACAAAGCTCCAGCCCCAGTGGAGAGCAGGATAATCCCCTCCCTCAGCCCAGCTCTACCCCAGGATAGAGTGGGCTTTTTTGGCTGCCATTGCTGACTCCTATTCAACTTGCTATCAACCCCCAGGTCCGTTTGCTGGGCTCCTCTCCAGCCTCTCATCCCCCAAATTGYGTGCACAACCCTGTCCCAGRYGCAGAATCAATGTCACAGAGGTTGKGACTGCCCAGCTCCCTGTAAGGGCCCTCTGGGGACTCCACAGCTCCTCCCCGTTCAGTATTGTTGGCAAACCTACTTGATGTACGCTGAATTCCTGCATCTGGATGATTTATACACCCCTTCAAGGGCCCCAGCCTTTGAACAGAGCCCTGGGTAAYCCCACTGGTGCCTGTCCTATGTGCCCCCATTTACTGTCACCCTTTGAGCTTGAGCTGTCACCAGCTCATGTAAAGGGGTTCTTGTGGAGCTGTGTGAGGGACAGTTCATCCAACAGACTTGAGGGATGGTATCAAAAGCTTTGCTAAAACCCCAAATCATTACATCTGTGCTCTTGGTCAACACCAAGGTGACTGACAGAGCTGGAAGGAGTGGCTGATAGAGGGTAGTGTGGCCCTTCAGAGGGACRTTGACAGTGGGAGAGGGGCAGAGAGGAACCTYCTGAAATTCATCACAGGCCAGAGCAGGGTCCTGCACCCAGTGGGGAACAACACCAGGCACCAGCCCGGGCTGGGGCTGCCCTGCTGGGCAGCAGCTCTGCAAAGAAGAGGGTGACACCAGCTGTCCCTGACCAGCTATGTTCCTGGGGGGTGTGAGGGAAGGGATCCTGCCCCTCTCCTCAGCTCTGAGGCACTTCTGGAGTGCTGTGTCCAGTTCTGAGCTTCTCAGAACACGAGGGACATGGAGGTCCTGCAGCAGGTCCAGCAGAGGCTGCAGAGATGAAGGGACTGGAGCATTTCCCTTCTGAGAGAGCTGGGGTTGTTCAGCCTCGAGAGGAGCCCCAGCTGAGAGGGGCACTCAGCCCTGTCCCTGCCTGCAGGGAGGGCTCCGAGCAGGGCCCAGCTCTGCTCTGTGGGGCCCAGCAATGGCACCAGAGGAATGGGCAGGAACTGATGCCTGGAATGTTCCACCTGGACATGTGGAAGAACTTTCCTGTGCACTGGAACAGGCTGCCCAGGGAGGTGTGGAGATATTTCAGAACCAACTGGACACAATCCTGTGCCCTGTGCTCTGGGATGGCCCTGCCTGAGCAGGGAGGTGGGACCAGATGAGCCACGGTGGGCCCTTCCTCCACACCTTCCAGCCTGTGACTCAACTGAATCGATGCTTGAGCTTGTTACAAATGGGAATTAAGCAGGACCTTCTCCTGTGAATCTGTATTGCCTGTGACTGATGACTGTATTGTSAAGGGTTTTTCAGCAACTCCCTAAATAGCCTTCTCCAGGATTTTACCAAGAACTGAAGTAAGACTGACAGGCCAGCACGGTCTTCCTTCTTATCCTGCTTGAGAACTGGGACATTTATCACCTTCCACTCAACAGAGACCCCTCCAGRCTCCYCAGACAGCTGAAAAATAATGGAGAAGTTCCATGATGACATCAGCCAGCTCTATCGTCACCCTGGTTTGGATCCCATTGTATCCCATCCGGCTGGAACGGTCAGTGCTGAAGAGGCTCGGGTCTAGCGGGAGTTTGTCATCTCCAGTCAGGGTCTTCCAGCACAGAATTCCGGGGTCGCAGTGCCTGCAGCCTTATCCACAACAGCTACTGTTTAGATATATTACTCTGTTGCCCTTTATCGTTATACACATTCCTTAAACTGCATTTCCTTCTGTGGAAAAAAACCTGAGCTGGTTTAAGGAACAGGATGGGCAGGACAAACACTGCTTCCTGGAGGCTTCACGCCAATGATTTCTACGAGGCTCCACCAAACGCTGCAGTGACTGAGGAGGACGCGGGCAGCCGCTCCGTGAACACCGACAGCCGCTGTTTCACCCCCTCCCGGGGCATTCCCACAGCGGCGGGCGCGGGCCCCAGCGGATCCCGGTTTCCTCCTGACAGAGCGCCGCCATCTTGCCGCCCCTCCGTCCCTCCCTCCGCGCGTGGGGCGCCGGGACGGGGCGGTGCCGGCGGCGGGGATTGGTCCGCTTTGACCACGTGGTGCGGGGCGGCSGTGCGCGAGCCGCTCCCGCGAGGTGTGGCCGCGGTGCCGGCCGGTGATTGGCTGAAGTGCGAGGCGTGACCGCCGAGGCGGTCTCTGATTGGCCGCTGCGCGCGCGGCCGGCGCGCTGGGAGTGCCGCCCATGTGACGCGGGCGCGGGGCCGGAGCGGGCCCGGAGCGGCGGCCGCGTCCCCGTCCCGCCGGCGGTGAGTGAGGGCGGGCGGGGCCCAGCCGGACCGTGCGCGGCCCCAGCCCCGTCACCGCGGCCACAGACATTCACCGCGCCCTGGGTCCTCCCCTCAGCCCCGCGGGCCGCGCTCCCTCCGGCGTCGCTGCCACCCCGGGCCCCGCTCGGCCCCCGAGTCCCGCTCAGTCCCGGGCCCCTCTCAGGCACCGCTGGGGCCGCTGTGCCAGGGACACTGGTGTCCGGGCCTCCATGTAGCAGGAGATTAGCACCTGGAGAGGTGCAGCCCCGGCCCCGGGAGTTGCAGCCCCGGCCCGAGAGGTGCAGCCCAGCCCGGTTATGTGCCCAGGGCTCCTGGGCTGCGTCACACCGAGTCTGGTGGGGTCGTTTTGTTTACCCGGCATCTGGATTTCCTCAGCCTTTGCAAACAGAGCGGTGTGGTGTGAGGTGACAGACGTGCCATGGACAGGAGGGATAACGGGGGAACTGCCAGTGTTGGAGGGAATKCTGGTACAAGGATTGATTGATTTCTTTCTTTCTGTCCAATGATTGCAGCAAGTGCTCGCAGCACGGCCCTTTGTCATTTCCCARGAAAACTCCAAAAGCAAAGCACTTGTTTTACTGCCAACATCCTCCATTATCCTTGGTGAAATCCATCAGTGTATCCCGACAGACCATTCCTAATGCAATGGGAACGATGCCGTGAGGCCTGGTRAGATTTGGCCATAGCCATGACAGAGCCCCACAGGGTTTCGTTCACCACTCTGCACGGACCCCTGAGCAGCAGCTTCCTGAAAAGGTCTCGGAAGGACGATGGAGAGCAGCCCCCGGAGCCGGAGCCGGCGGCCACGGCCGTTCGAATCACTCTGACCCTCTTTGAGCCGGATCACAAACGCTGCCCCGAGTTCTTCTACCCAGATCTCCTCAAGAGCTGTCGAGGGAAAGTCAAAGGGGGTTCTTCAGGTGACAAGGTGAGTGTCCCTCACTGGGGCTGTGGGAAACTGTGTTGTAGCTGAGGGTCTTAACAGCTGTCTCAGCACTGCTGTTTTGAAGTTGGGTCTGTGTTTGCTGTGAGGTGCTGCTAGGTGGGAGGAGGGTGGTGGAACATCCTGCAGGCAGGAGAACTGACCCCCAGGCTGGGGTTCTTGTTCTCAGGCCACACTGTGYCACTCCTTTGCCTTGGCTGGGATTTTGTGTTGGGAAGGTGTTGTGCTGGTGGCAGGTGTGGGATGTGATGCTTGTTTAATTTGGAATGACTGGATCTAAAGTGAGTTTTGGTTGCTGGGCAGTGAGAAGGAGCTGTTGTCCAAAGAGCACCAAAGGAGGGTTGAATGAAAACTCCTGTAGCATCTAAACTTTCAGTTACAAGTGTTTGTGTATGAAAAGAAATTTATTGGATTTTATTCCTTTTACTGTTTCCCTTCAGAACTGTTGTCAGTCAGTTGATGTTTTGTGCTGCTTGATTTTTGGAAGGGTTTTTTTTTTTTTTGATAATTGGGAGAGCAGAGGCAGCTACAAAACTACCTGAGAGAGCACCTAAACCACAGAAGCACTGTCTGAATCCCAGCGTGGTTTGGGTTGAAAGGGACTTTAAAGCCCACTCCACCTGGGCAGGG